TATATAAAAAGTGAACAGACAGTATAAGGGTGCAATAAATTTATCATTCATTTATTAATGAAATTATTATAAATGTTAATCTGCTTCATTGGGTCTTCTATAGATTGCATGCCTACAAGAAATGCAGGGACAAAAATAAAGCAGCAATTGAGGGAATGTCCAACCAATGCCTGACCCAACCTGAGATTCAACCCAGGGGAGACAGCCAAGCCCTGACATGATTAATGATATTCTTCAATGCTTGCAGACAGGAACCTAGCACAGCTGTCCTCTGAGTGGCTCCATCAAGCACCTAATGGAAACACATTAAAAAACAGAGGAGAGTGCAAGGAATCCTGTGGAAGAGTAGTGGGAAAATAAAAGGACCCAGAAGGGACAGATGATAGGAGCTCCACTAGAAGACCAACAGTGCTATCTAACCAGGGTCCAGGGAAAATGGGGTGTGGGGAATGCTTTACTGACACTGAAGCACCAAACAAGACCATGCAAGGACTGTACCTAGGGCCCCTGCACAGACATAGCTGATGGATATCTGAGTCATCATATGGGTCCTCTACTAAGGGTATGGAGACTGAACCTGGCATGAACTCTGTTGCTTTTTGATCACTTTCCCTTGACAGTGATACCTTGCCAGGCCACAGGGGACCAGGATGTGCTTAGTCCTGATGGGACTTGCCATTCTGGGGTGGGGCAGAGGCGAGGAGGTCCCCTTCTCTGAGGAGTAGGAAAGTAAGAATAGTTAAAACAGGGAGGGAGGGTGGGACTTGGAGTAGAAGAGTGAAGGGGCTATGACCAAGATATAAAATGAATAAATAATAATGACAAGTACCTAAAAAGTGTAAGGTTTTTCATTTTACTTTTCTCAGTCTTCTTACCCTCAAACTATTTTAAAGGGTTGAATGAGAGAAAAAGAAATTAAATATTCTATTTTACTGAGTAAATTTTAATATGAAGGATGGGTCGCAGGGCAATTGGAGAACTGAAAAGAAAACCGTGCCTCAGAGGTTATACAAAGATGGCAGAATATGGATGCCCTCTCTCTGTGTGGACTGAGAATGACTGAGACCTGGGCTACTTCAGTGGAAAGACAGACTTTTCAGAACTCTGGTATATAGTTCTTGGTGACGATATTATGTAGCCTGTTATGCTGTGGCAGAACCTAAAAGTAGAGTTGAACTCTAAGAAAAGCCAGGAGGGAATGGATGACATACAGGATACTTTTTGTTGTGTAGGATGAGCATGTTCTGAAGGACTTAAAAAAGTCTGTAGATGGGAGGGGGCTATAGCTGGGATATAAGGTGAATAAATTATAATTAAAAAATATTAAATAATATTTTAAAAGTCTGTAGACAAACTAAATTCAGCTCTGAGGATGAAGGATAGATGGTTGGAAAAGAAATGCAGACAACAAGAAGTAGCCAGGAATTAGCCCCCTCCCCTTCTTCTGCTGCAGTCTTTATTTTAGTCTTTATTTTATGCTCCCTAATATGAAAGTTAAGAGGAAGCCATGTGGCTAATGAGAAACAAGGTGTGTAGAATCTCAGTTCACAATCGCAAAGCAGAATACAGAGCTGAATACAGTTTAAAAACACAAGACACTAACTGGCTTTTACGGAAAGGAAAATAAAATCACTTTGCTCAAATTCTGTAATCTTATCAAGTACATTTGATATGTCGATATAGTTTAATAAACCTTGTGTACTCCTTTTTCATATTTAGCTTTTTGGAAGAGGGATCCATTATGTCACATAGTGCAATTATATTTTCTGCATTTTATTTTTTTTTCTTCTGCTGAAATAGAAATCTAAAAAGGAATAAGGATAGTGATGAGACAGACTTTGTTCCAATGCAGCTGATTAAAAATTGATCACAATGACCAGCCTGCTTCAGCTTGGGCTGTTTCACCCAATCAGATGTTCAATATTTCATTACTGGGATTTGCATAATCAACATTTTATTTATTTTTTTCAGAAGTCTCTATTTTAATAAAAACTAAATACATATTAAAGGGTATAAAATAGGCTGATGAATTACAGTGACTTCATTGACTTTTATATGATTGCCTGTTATTTTGCATGTTAACTTGAATTTGTTGTATTTTTGGCTATGCTTGTATATGTAAGTGTGTGTGTGTGTGTGTGTGTGTGTGTGTGTGTGTGTGTGTGTGTGAGTTTGCAGCAGGCCAAAAAAAGGAGTCTGAGGAGACAAAGATAGGCATACAAAAAGAAAAAGAAAGTATTAGATTGATATTGACAGAGAAGTCTGAAAATAATAACTTACAAATTGGGTAGCAAGGAATAACCCCTGGTAAATCTGTGTATAGCCTCTCCACTTCTAAACAAAAGTGTTTTTCTGTAGGATAATTTATTTTCCACAGTTACTAAACTGATTGGCAAAATAAGTATGCTTCCCTGCTATGTTGTAAGTTGGTTTTGGTTTTTGTTTTCTTTAATTGAAAAAATAGTGGAATTTTTCACATAAATCCTGCTTATGGTTTGCCCTCCCTCAGCTACTCCCAGTTCCTTACCAGCTCCTTTCCAATCCAGGTCTACACCCTCTCTGTCTCATTGAGACCAAACAGTATTCTATGGAATAATAAAAATAAAATATCATGCGATAGAATATAATAAGGCAAAACAAAACTAACACATTGGAATTGGACAAAACAAACAAACAGTAGGAAAAGAGCTCAAGAAAAGAACCAAAAAAACGTATAAATATGTATATATATTAATACCACATACATGTATATGTTAATATATACATATTGTCATACTTAGGAATCCAATAAAGACACTGACATGGAGCCTTTCAATCTGTAAGGTAAAAATAAAGGAAAATGTAAACAAAACAAAATTAATAAAATATAAAAATTTAAAAAGGAAGAGTTTGGACTTTACATTATAAGACAAGGAACCCCAAAATGCTGAAGAGCTTATTTTCTGCTGGCCACCCCCTGCTGTGCATGCAGGGTGCACAGTGCTTTGTTTCTCAGATGCCATTTGAGAATTTGTTTCTTCTGCAAATGGTAATCACTTGGAGATTGCTTCTGAGATAGGGACTGGGGCATGTGTCCACATCTCCCTTCAGCTCTAGGTCCCCATAGGGTGCAGGCTAACCCTGCAGATGTTATGCATCCTTTCTCAATCTCTGTAAGTTCTTATGTGCAACAATGAGGTCGACTTAGAGAGCCTTCTTTTCTCGGTGTCCTCAACCTGCTCTTCGCCTTACACTCTTCCCTGAAGTAGACTAAGGTCAGGGCGTTGGAAGGGAGGTAAATAAAGCATGTTTGGTGGAAAATCTAACTACGCTTTCCTGGGGTTCCTGAGCTTCAGGGGAGCGGCTTGATGGAGACATCTTAATAGGAATGAGTGTGTTTCATTCTATACATAATGTCTTACATTCTCTGCAATGGGTCTCTGTATTTGTTCCCATCTGCTGCAGGAGTAGCTTCACTAATAATGGCTGAGCAAAGCATGGATATATGAGTACAGTGGTATGTGTTTACGAGTCATTTTATTGATACATTTTTTGCTTATTTGGCTTTATATTTTAAAAAGTAGATTAATTTTTACACTAGGTCTCTGGGCTCTTTAGTATTAGAATATTGGTCACTCAAACGGTGTTGGATATGGTTTCCATCTCAATGATGGACCTTCAAGGCAAATAAGATATTGGTTGATTATTCCTACAAGGTTTTTGACACCATGTCTTTCAGACAAGACAGTATTGAACATTAAAGAGTTTGTATTTGGGGTGGTATTTATATTTCTCCTCTGGCACCTTATAGAGTGCCTTCCTGTACCAAAAATACTAGCACATAGAGGTAAATGTTGATTTCTTGGTCAATGAGTTCTGTAGATGGCATCTTTAGCAATGGGGTCTTCATGTCAGTTTCTGGTGAGCAATCGATAGCCTTGGCAACACCTTGGTTGTTTGGGGGTTACTGGGACCCATTTGGCCAACAACTCAATTATGTATAATCCAATTCAGGTACTGAAAGCTTCTGTTGACATGAAATAAGCAGTTAGTTACAGCTTTTTTCCTCCATTATTTGGGTATTTCATTTAGATGAACTTTGTATATGTATGTGTATTAGGAAGCTTCTTTTGTATTAGGTTTCTATACTACTCCCCAATTTTAGCCCCCTTTCCCAATATTCAGTCTCTCATCCCTCTGTCTCCTCTACCTACCAACTTGGTCTTCCCCAACCAGTCTTGTGCCGGATCCATCCATAAGTATCTACTCTATATTTTTCTCCAGATGAGATACATCTGTCTTCTAGTCCCTTATTCTGCCTAACCTCTGTGGCACTACAGATTTTGTCATGGTTATCATTAAGAGCTAATATCTTCATATACGTGAATCAATATCATATTTATCCTTTGGGATATGAGATGACTCAGGATGATTTTTTTTCTAGTTCCAGACATTTAGAGGAAATTTCATTTTTAAAATTGCTGATTAATACATGTAAAAAAAAATATACCACATTCTTTTACTGAGTGACATCCAAGTAGTTTCCAATTTCTGGCTATTGTGACTGGAGCATCAATGAACGTGGTTGAACAAGTGTTTCTGTGAGTGAACTCCCTAACATGGGGTGGGGAAAAGGATGATGATATATTAAAGTATAATTTGGTCTCTCTAATAATATATCTTTACTGTGTATGCTATTACTGGCATTTAATATATTTTGTTTCAAACAGAATTTAATGAAGATGTTTTGATGTGAAAATCATCTTATATTCTAATTATTTTCTTAAGGCTTATAAAATAATACATATTGATTTATGAAAGCCCATATAATGAAATCATTTATGAGAAAATGCACGAAACAGTGTCATTGGGAATTGATACATTAGTTTGGCTTATGAAATTATAGCCTGAAAATACACTCTTATTCAGAATTTAAGCAAAAGCAGCCAGATAGATACTGTTGGGCAAAGTTGAGTTTTTTTTCCCATTTTCCCAAGTTTTTTTTATTTCATTTTATTTAGGAAATCTACTGAGGATGGTTTCAAGATGTAGAATCCTTATACGTGAGGTATCCAAACGAAGTTGAAGAATCACCTACTGAAAGTGCTTCCTGTTGTGGTAAGAAGAAACAATTCTTATAAGTTGGTGCTTGGAAAATATAATGACAAGCACACACTTTGTGCATGTCTTTGTATGTAATATATGTGATGGCTTTAGCATTATGCATTGATAATAAAATAAAATGATGACTGTAACTAAGTTTACAAGTTTAAGATTTTTAAATATGTTTAATATTTTGCATTGTCCTCAAGAGGCCTGTGGTATTTCAGAGAACTCACATAATGATATGTTTCAACTCTGTGTATTGTTTATATTAGCTACTGTCATCATAAGATCCCTAACAGTAGGTTTTATCACACCCATAGCACAGATGTAAAAACAGACATTTGAAGAAACTGAAACCTTGTGTACAATCTTTCTTATAGTTGACTTACTGCAGTTCCCACAGATAGGTTATCTCTCACCCCATGATGGGTGAGGAGGCAAACTTTAGATTTAAGGTAATACACTAAGTTGTAATGCACTACTTAGAAAAGAGACATATTTGGCTCTCCTCAATAGAAAATATAAATGGTTTTCATTTATATATCATTATTCTTGAAGACATACTTCTGCAAGGCATCAAACAGTTGAATAGATGCATTACAGCATTTGAATGATGTGAAAAAGTGATATGGAAAAATATATGGGATATTTGTCTTATTCATCTTTGGTATAGAATGAGAAATTGGTAGACCACCTCTATACAAATAATAATGACCGATGATTATGTTTAATGGAAGTAGTTCTAATCCAGCCTTTATGGGTAACTAGTATATGACCTTGAGAAAGTAACTTAAAAGTCCTAATTTCCTTTGCTAACATATGTGCTATGGGGATTTGATGGGACTCCACTAAAGTAAGAGATAGTATATGCCAACCACCTGCCGTTCTGCCTACTGTACTACAAATACTCTATATGGAAGTCACATAAATGTCACTATACTGTAAACATTGCTAAAATACAGTCAGTACTTCCTTGTATTTGTCAGTGAAGATGCATGGTTGAAGAAATATAAAACAAGTATTTGTGAGTAAAGATTCTCTCCAATCAACATTATGCAAACTTATTCTTCAACATGTTTCACTTACCCAGCTATTATCCAGCAATTTCATATTACTGATTGGATCCTTTGAAATATCAACATTTAGTCTGTAAACAGGAGAACACACATCCCTTTGTTCTTCCTACTCAGCGGTAAAGTTCGATGTACTTGGTCTGCCTCTGTTACCTGAATTTTTTCAGATGAATTCATCTAACATAGTGATTGCTCAGCAGAAGGCTGCTGAGTTTCCGTGAGTTGGATGAGCTTGAGTTCTTCAAAGTTGACCTCTTGGGAGTGTGCTGAGCACTCGTTCAGAGACTGAACGAGTTAGTTGCCTCACTACTTGCCTCACTGTTAGTAATAATCAGCAATATGTCTATGGGAGTAGACACTGTTCCCACACCTGAAGATTACATTTTCCATGCTATAGTGTTCATTGTAAAGTCCAGAGGAAAAGCTTTCGATAATTCCCAAGGTTCCAATGTGTTTTACCCTTTTTGTAGACATAAAAAATTCTACAAAATAAGTGAGTGTACTGCAGGTATTAAAATCACAGCTCCAATATTCATAGAGAAAGGCTTTCCTCAGAGCATAATAGGAAGGGAAGTTAGGTCCTTACTAATGCTGTTTTCAGTAGTGTTCATTTTGAGTATACTCAGAGAACGTTTGATACATTTCAGTTCAAGAGTATTGAATTTACACAGAGGTTCTTCACTGAAGATTTTCAGGTTCCATTATTATGTCTAGTTTTGATTTAAGTTAAACAGTAGTTGTTTTATAAGAATAGAATTCTGCATGGTAAGGCCCTGTGTAATAGAACTGTTTGTTTCCTTTTCTTTTAACTCTACGATAGTGATATAGTTGCTCACTTTACTTTAGCACCAGTGCCAGACCCTTATGCAGTGAGGACCATAACAGTCACATTGCACTCTGCCCAAAGTTTGGCTATAAGTCTCAGCATCTGCTTTGATACTCTGCTGGGTAGAGTCTTTCTTATGAAAGAAGGGGGAAATAGAAAGAACTGGAGTGGACTGAAGTTCCACAGGGATAACAAAAGAACAAAAAAATCCTGACCCAGGGGTCTTTTCTGAGATTGACTGATACTCCAACTAAGGACCGTTGATGGAGATAACTATAAAACCTACACAGACGTAGTTCATGACATCTCAGTCTCCAAATGGGCTCTTTAGTAAGGGGAGAAGGGCTTGTCTCTGACATCAACTCAGTGGCTGTTCTTTGATCACCTCCTCCTGAGAGGGGGGCACAGCCTTACCAGGCTACAGAAGAAGACAATACAGACAGTTGTGATAAAACCTAATAGATGTAAGATGTAAGGGGAGGAGGACCTCCCCTATCAGTGGACTGGGGAAGGGACATAGGAGGAGAAGAGGGAGGGAGAGCAGGATTGGGAGGGGATGGGGGGTGGAGATTCACAGTGAATAAATAGTAATAAATAAAAAAATAAAAAATAAAAGAGTCACATTGCTTACATTTCAAGGTTACACAGACTGCACAACTCACCCATTTCTTGAAGCACTGCTAATGTTCTAAAATGGCAGCTGCCCTTGAAGATATACTCATACACTTGACAAAAAAAGTGAATCAGCGACATATCCTATAAAGAACTTATTGGACTATTTCACAATCAGGATAAAAGTTTGACGTGACTCAGAAAAGTTGTGAGAGAGAAGTAAAAGGGAGCCTCATTTTGACAGAGAAAAATTAACTAAGAAAGTAATCACTTCCAAATGTACCGGGCTAAGAACAATAGGTTTTACCTTAGATTTGTTCATAGCATCTGTGTGTTGTATATGCACCTCTAGGAAAATGTTTCTGAAGTTTAAAGTGCTTGGAGGTGAGAGGGAAGCTTGTTATATATTCCCAGGAAGGAGATGGTGCTCTTGATGATCACTTAAGTACAATAGCCTAATTTCAGTAATCTACATTTTAAACACTGCCAATCAAACTAAAGAACTTTTTTTGTATACTCCACTAACTGGGACCTGTTGGTTTTCTACCTTGAAGCTTTAAGTTTCATCAACAAATTTAGGAGTTTTACTGTCGGAGTTGGAACTGAAGAACTTCGTTGAGTAAGTATTATAACATATACCTAAGAAGCAAATAAGTTTTAACTCAAGTCACTTGAATAATTACATTTTATCCGGATGCATGTGAAACCTTGATAAAGCAACTTTAAAACTGCAGACCCAGTTCATGACAACAGCAGGTCTGATCATGCTAATGTTAACTGAATTTCTTCTAGTGAGCAGGTGCTTTCACATATGTAATAATATGCCAAATCTTCCCATCAGCTACCCCCATTCTACAGGCCAATGAAGTTTATCAGTAGAACTTATTGGCTCAGCTTTTGAAGGTAGCACATGATGAGGCTAGGCGTAAATCTTGGCACCAGGAGAGTGTGTGTCTGCTACAGCTGCTTGTTAATCCTAGGATAATTCAGTTTTATAGCCATGAAGAGTTTTGTTTCATGGCAGCCAGAACAAGCACATATGGGAACAATTGGCCTCTATTTGTTTTGTTTATGCTCCTAAACACTGAATTCACCATCACCTGCTACAGTGGAGTTTAAAAGGCATCAAGTAAAGTGGACCTATTTATCTGCTGTGTAAGACTACCCTGAAAGAAATTTTATGAAAAGAAAAAAATGTCTGGGTCTCTACACATTCTTTCTAACCACTGAGCTTGATATTTCTTTTTAATTTTTTTATTTATTACATTCTGTTCACTTTGTATCCCATCTATAGCCCCATTTTTTCTTCCTTTTCCAATCCTGCCCTCCCTCCTTCTTCTTCTCCCATTCCCTGTCCCCAGTTCACTGACAGGGGAGGTCCTCCTCCTCTTCCATCTGACCCTCTCCTATCAGACCTCATCAGGACTAGCTACATTGTCTTCCTCTGTGGCCTGGTAAGGCTACTCCCCCCACATACCTACCTCAGAAGGAGGTGATTGATGAGCCAGCCACTGAAGAGTGTAGGGAATCTTATGAAAGAAGAGGGAGATAGAAAGATCTTAAGGGGACTGGAGCTCCACAAAGAGAGCGACAGAACAACAACAACAAAAATAAATAAATAAAAATTTGCCCAGGGGTCTTTTGTGAGACGGATACTCCAACTAAGGACCATGTATGGAGATAACCTAGAACCTCTGCACAAATATAGCTCATGGCAGCTCAGTCTCCAAGAGGGTGCCCTAGTAATGGGAACAGGGACTGTCTCTGACATGAACTCAGTGGCTTGCTCTTTGATCACCTTTCTCTGAGGGGAGGGCAGCCTCACCAGGCCACAGAGGAAGACAATGCAGCCACTCCTGATGAGACCTGATGGGCTAGGGTCAGAGGAAGGGGAGGCAGACCTCCTGTATATGTAGACTTGGAAAGAGACATGGGAGGAGATGAGGAAGAGAGGGTGGGATTGAGATGGGACTAGGGAGGGGCTACAGATAGGATACAATGTAAATAAACTGTAATTAATAAAAAATAAATAAATTTAAAAAGATAGAAACAGAAAAACATGAATTGTAGATCTTTGCTGAGCACAACTGACTAATATTTTTGTTTCATGAATAAGCATTTCTAGTTGTAAAGATAACTAATTATGTAATATTAGATGATATAATCCTTCATTTTAAAGAACGACAAAAATTTGAATTACTACATATTAAATATGTATACCTATGTGTTATGAAATGCTCTGCAGGCCCACGAGTTAAAGCTAAGTCAGTTTTCTCATCTTTTTCTTGTACTTGCCCATTCTTTCTCTTTTCCAATCATTATTCAGCTGTTGACTTCTTCTAAGACTTCCCAAGGTATTTCCTCAGTGTGTAAACTCCTTTAGTTTATCAGTTTATGTCCTTTCAGCTGGATTTTTTTTCTGTCTCTTGAGCGATGTGTAAAAAAAAAAAAAATGCCATAGTGATTTTGTATGGAGGTAAACGTGTAAATTCCTTTTTAAG